TGTAGGCCTTGTCCACTGTCCACTCGCCCGCGGCCCCGGCCCCGGGCTCGGCCCCCGCATAGCGCTCCATCTCCTGCTGGAACTGCAGCTGCCGCCGCCGGTTGGGGTCCACGTTGATCCAGTTGTTGGCGATCCACTTGGTGCCTTGGGTGACCAGGCAGCCCCCGTGCAGGGCGAAGTCATCCAGCTCCCCCACCCAGCCTGCGGAGCAAAGACCCGTTAGGAGGCGGCAAGGAGCACTGCAGCACAGGCAGGCACGGCCGATGAACACCGACACCGTCTCTCCTGCCCCCAGCGCCTGCTTGGATTTAGCTCAGATCCACCTTACAGGAGTTGGCTCCTCCTGGCACCCCTCCATCTTAGTGCTACCCCACCCTAGCGCCTATGAGGAGCTCGCCAGGGCAGGCTCCCCAAGCGCAAAACGCTTGTTGCCTCCGCGCCTCTGCTCTGCACAAGGGGCTCTCGCATTCTGCATCCTGGCTCACGTTTTTCTCAGCTCTTCCCGAAGGGGGAGGCTGTCACGGAAGAGATGGGTGCTGCTGCTAGAAGGCCTGTGGATGTCAGAGGCTCACGGCCTTATTAGAGATTGCATTTCAGCAGTTCTAAATGATCTTCTCTTTACAGAGGTCCCATGTTTTTTCCATGGCAGCCTTGCATCAGCAGCCGCCTTCCATTTAGGAACAATTTGCTCATAAAACCACAACAGGGCTCTTCTTAAAGGACAGCGATGGTCTTGATATTATCATCTAACAGCCCAAATGTCTTGTAATTTTTCTAGAGATGGAAACATGGGCTGCTCCCAGGGGAGCTGGGATGCCATACTCCTTCCTCCCACCACTGCTCAAAATCTGCCAACAAAACACTCTGGAGTCATACTTGCCAGCAGCCTGGAAGATTCACGTCCATCCCCCAGCCTGGCTGTTGGGGAAAACCACGCTGCGCTTGGTGAGGAAAGCAGCCCCGAAGACACAAACCAACAGGCTGCAGCTGAGCTATAACACAGGAGTTGGGCTGTGCCTCCCTGTGCTGCACAGCTGACGGCCGTGCCTTTGTCCACCTCCCCTCCCCACCCCTTTGGGCAACACCACATCAGTGAAACATTTTGAACTGCAGACCAAGTTCCAGCAGGAGCTTCAGCTTGCACAGCAGGATGGAAGGCAGCTGGCAATGGCTAGTGCAGCCACGGTCTTTGTTTGCTAGCTAGGCCCGTCCCCCAAAGACATCAGGAGCCACTGACCTACTGCCTGTAAACAAAGGCCTTCCAGGGTCAGGAAACTCCTACCCAGCTGGTGACAAGCAGACTCTACAGTTCCCACTAGCAGGCAGCTACCACCCTTTGGCTCCAGTCTGAGCTCCCAGCCGCCGCAAGACGATGACGGCTGTCACCTCCTGCAGTCCTACCCCTCCCAAGAGCAGAGTCTTGAAACAGTACCATACCTTCTCCGTCTGACAGGTAGTTGTACCAGAAAACAGCAGTGCCTTGCTGAGGTTTCACTCGCAAATTGCCCTTGTCGCAGTTTTTCCGAGTATCTCGTAGGTCAACGTCATTCTGGATCAAAGACTGGGAAGAAACCACAGAGAAGGTGTCGCAAACTGGGTTGGAACGAAGCACATGCACTGGGCTGCCTCTGCTGCCAGCCATCATCCTGCCCTTTGCCTGAGCACCCCACAGGGACAGCTCAAGGCTGATGCTGGGCAGGACAGGGCTTTCACAACCCACCCGGAGCAGCCAGTTTCAGCCCCTTAGAAGCTCATGACCTATTTCTGAGCAGCCACCCATTCCTTAACACATTGCCTGGAGCACAACATACCTGACAAGACTTCCTCTGAGGAAACCTGCCCAGACAGAAGCGAGCAGGACTCGTGTTATGGCAGCAAGGCCAACAGACTGCCCCTCGAACCTCTGAGCAGGGAGAGGCACAGCTGTCAAAGCCCTGCGCCTCCTCCCTTGGCCTCAGAGGGACACAGCTTCCCCATGTCCTAGCGACGGAGGCTAATGTCCACCAACCTCACGCACCAGACCCCTCTGCAGCCACAGCAAATAAAGACATTCAAAGAGGGGCTTCAAATCCCCAGGGGTAACATGTAGGTGAGATTCATTTACCATCTCTTCGTACGTCCTGTTATCAGCTATAGGGAAGACTGTTTCACCTCCCCCAGTCACATTGTTCAGGTAGAACAGCACTGTCACATACCTGCAAGACAGAGCGGCTGTCAGGGGACACAACTGGAACAGAAGAAGACGCACAGGGGCTGTCTGCACCCTGCCCCTCCACCACACATACAGCGGTTCCTCCAAGACATCACAAGATAAGTGATCTACATCACCAGCTTTTCTCCAAGGACACAACAAGGACAACAAAGAAGCCTCTGAGGGTGTGTTTCTAGCCATTGGTGGGGATGGCCCAGCCACTCTGCACAATCACTCTGCCCTCCTCCTCGCATCGGCTCTGCGGACTTGCAGGATTCACCCACCCCCCTCTTCAGACCCCTTCATGCCAACAATCTGCACAGCTGATTTGCGAGCCCACAACCTGAGCACCGAGTACCATGCGAGGTGAGGTGAAACTGCTCTCCACACCTCTTCTCTAACGTGTTCCAGATAGTGGCAAAGCAGACCTTACCGGCACGAGGTCTCAAAGGGAGCGCTTTCATTGGCGACCAGCTTGGTGTGGCTGCAGGCAGTCTCGGGGAAGACAGGGCCACTGTCCATGTGGGCATGGTAGTGCCCTCCTTGGTCGTACCGCACAACCTGGAGGGGCTCGCTGTGCTCCACAATCTCGGGGGGCAAGCGAGTCAAGCGCATTACCCTGGGGAAGAGGAGAGCAGAGCAGGTGAGGGGAAAGCACCATCACCCCATTCGGCTGCTACTCCCAAGCAACAAGTAAATCCAGAGAAAGCTAACCCCCTTCCCCAACAGACCGGAGAGACAGATGGGCTGCAGCAAGCGTGCCAAGAGGTAACTAGGTCCCTTACAGATCTGTTGCACCATCACCATCAGCTCAGAAAGTCCTTGTCAAGGTTGACAGAAAACCCCAAAACTGAAGGGTGCATCTCCAGCAGGACTGCTCTCAGGAAGACTTTGCTTGCTCAGCAAGATTGCTTCTGTGTGTGTCCCTGGAGCCTTCATGTGCCATCTCATGGCTTCTCTGGACTCCTGCACACCACCTACAGACCTCAGGGACAGTTAGCAAAGCACAGGGCCCCTGCTGAGAGCGAACAAGGGACTAGCTCTAGGAATATTCTTGTCACCTAACTCACCTTTCCCTGTTGCCTTTTCAGCAGCCTCCCCCCAGGGCAGAGGGGCACAGGAAGTGATCAAGGAGACCGGAGCCCTCCTGCTCTGGGATTTTTTCCGCTGCTACATCTGAGATCATCCCCAAGGCAAGCAGGTACCTCTCGAGACCTGCCAAAGAACACTCAGAGCTCTGAGAATTCAGACTGGTGAAGCCCTCCAGGCAGACACAAGGGGAACGTGGCACCCAGGCAGGATGGCAAAGCCCCTCCAGGCTCTGCACAGTCCCAGGGAGGACTTGTGACAGCCTCCGTCAGCGCTACGTCTTCACATCCCCTTAACAGTGGCCAACCGAAGAGCGTAAAAGCAGTATGCCAATGCTTGTGTGCGCTGGCTAGCTAGCACGGAGAAGGTGGCAGCCACAGTCTGCTCTAATCAAGGCAATATGGGACCCCATTCTCCCGCTGGAATGCACTGAAGAAAAGGAGCGGCCAACAGCCGTTTTCAAGCCTCGGGACAGATTTCACCCACCCATGTTCTGGGCAAGGACCAGCACCACAAGAACAAGAGAGTCTCCAGCCAATTATCTGAAACTCACCACAGCTAAACGATTTGGCCTGTGAGCTGGGTTTCAATACTTCCCACTACCAAATCTGAGATGAAGGGAAGAGTAAGAGGTTCTCCAGTCTGCTGTGAGTTGCCCTGTGATATGTGTGCTTGGAGGATTAAACTAACTTGGCTTACTTGAGGTGAAGTCGTGCTTGTTAAAAAGTCAGCTCTGAATAGCTAAGACAGATTTCAGTGAAATGCATGAGTAACTAGAGCAAATGACAGTAACTACTGGCACCCAGACAGCCTTGGAAATGGGCAGTTTCTCCCAGTCAGCTCATTTACTAATTAGAATGAATTATTTCATATAATGCCAAGTCTTCTTGGTTTTATAGGGCTGTTCTCAAAAGTGAATGGAGATGCTGAAAGGTTTGATTTTTCTTTTTCCTTTTCCATAGGACAATACAAATTCTTGTTCTAATGAAAACCTCGTCTCCCCACTTCGTGTCTGTGTTCATTGCTCTTCATACTCCAAAGACTTTCATGCAATTAGGAGGTGTGAATATTAGCAAGTCTGCCACTGCCTCTCCCAGCACAGGCACTCCTCGTGCCTGCACAAACCCAACCGTCCCTCGGCTGCCTGTCCCTTACCTTTGCCGTATGGCTCTCATGACCTGGTGTGCCCCCTCGCCCTGGTACAGCCAGGTGTGCTGGCTATTGCGCACCAAGTCACTCATCTTCACTTTCTGGCTTCCCATGTACTTGTGGAAATCACGGATATTCAATTGTTTGAACTCCTCCAAACTCAGCACGCCTACAGGAAGAGAGGAAAAGCTGGCTGACTCTGGTGCAGGTAATAGCTCTTGGCCTCTTGTACTCAGAGAATCCACCACCTGAGGGCACTGCAGAAACTGCCTTCCTCAAACAAATTCGATTCAGGGCCCACCACTGTACCCACCACGGGCTGCACGCCATATGCGCAGCATGACAGACCCCAGCAACGCTCTCACCTCTAGCTGAGCAGAGGGCCTACAGCAACCTGCAAAAGCAAACCATTAGCTGCCATGCAGGGTCAGAACTGGGACAGGCAAAATACCATTTTGAACTTTAAAATGCTCCTAAACCACACAAAACAATCCATATAGAAATTTCCATAGAGAAATAGCCACTACAGTTCTAACATATGCAATGCCACAGCTAAAAAGCCCGTGCCAAGCCTTGGGGCTTGTTACTTATTTAAATAGACACATTTAAGAGCAGAGTGGGACACCTCAGACCACATTTTCTACAAGACCTTGCATGGTAATTTAAAAAAGCCAAACCTAAACCAAGCAGTACATTCTTCTGCATTTGTGTAATTGCAAAACATGAGTAAGAAACACAACAAGAGTGTGATCTTGCATAAGTAGATGTAACAGAAAAGTGAGAGGTAAAAAGTGGTTTCTACTAAAACAGGTATTTCTTGTTTGCACTCAACTGGACTTGGCAAGGGATGGACTTTTGCCTTTGTCAACTTGAGAAAAATCTTCGTATTTGTTGTTTCCCCTTTCTGGAGAAGGAAGCCCTGCACTGGGGACCAGGTCCACAGCGTGCAGAGCGCTGCACCGGCCTGCCTGGTGTCAAGGGCTGCGAGTGGGGCTCACTCAGGCAGCAAACCAAGTGCTGCTGCGGTGCCAGCTCTGCTCCCCAGGCACACAGCACCCTCCTGCAGGAGGCAGGACCAGCCACCAGGGTCAGCCTGGGACAGTACCTCAGGTGCCATTGGTCATGACCAAATTATGCAGACCATCATTATTTCTAGTGTCCCCATTTCCCCTTACTCCACACGGTCTTTGATGATGCAGTGCCACATCCAGGTTGTGACCTGGTCTCTTGATGTCACGTACCAATCTAATAACAGAGGGAAGCAGCAGTCTGGAAGAAACGTCCTGCCAAGAGCACTTTAACAGGACCTTTCATTTGTTAATGTCCGGGATGGTGGAAAAGCCACAGAGGACTCAGTCATACGCTCCTACCCCTGCCAAAAATGCCACCAGCCTGGAGTAGTGGGGCATGGGGTACCCTCCGGATATTTAGGCATTAACAGGGGTACCGCTTCAACTCCAGAGCAGCTCCTCCTGGGCAGCTCTCAATGCCAGGTCACTGGAAGAGAGCGTGCAGAGCCTGTGCGTTCACTTTATTTGATTAGGAAATGGAGAATTGCTTAATTGGGGCCACTCTAATTAGAGCAGCAGAGGTTAGAGTGCATGTCCGGACCAGCGGGAGCGGGAGGGGCAGAAGTGGCCTCATGGAATACAGAGAGTTTGCAGTGGCAGAGGGGGGGGGTCAGCAACAAAGGCTGACCAACGAGACTGCCCTCGCCTCCACTTACTCCGCCCTCCCCTGACAGTGATGTGGTGCCCCCAGCCTGCTGCAGAAGTCTCCCTGAAAACAGGGGGGGGAGTGGAGGGTGCACCTTAAAACCTGCAGCCCAGGTAACAAGAGCTACATAGTCAGAACCAGAGCTGTCTCTCAGACCACAGGAGCAGAATTGCACCCTGAAGGTCCTGTTACAGCCAGGCACGAACCAAGGCAGGTCTGACAGGAGAGAGGGAGTACAGAGATGTGTTCTGCTCCTGCAAAATCCGAGACCAGGTGGTGGAACCAGTCTGCTGCTAAACTGGCGATGAAGGGGCAGGAGTGCTGCAATGAGAGGTTACACGGATTTTACTTTTCTGGAAAGGTCTCTAAAGCAGCGTTATTTTCCTTTGAAAAACACAGCTAGGGAAACAGGCCTGGGCAGGGACACGGCTCTTGCTCTGCCCCACCTAGCTGTGCGAGGCATTCAGCGTGCTGAGGGCAAAGGGATTCCTGTGGAGCTGTTCTTACCATTCCCATCAGGATCGGCCTTGACTGCAGTGTACATCTCCCGGATGTTTTCGGGGGTCATCCACCTGCCGTTCCCAAGCCGGGTGTGGGTCAACACCTGAAATTCATAAATGAATCAATGCCGGGCACTGGTTTCTTGTACTAACAAAACCCTACAACCTAGATTCTCTGCTTGAGGCCTGGCGGGCTCTCCTCTACAGAGCATCGGCCAGCCAGGCGTCAGCATGTCTCTGCAGAAAGAAGATTGCAGTGAGAATCATCTGGCAGCCACACACAGTGTGTGGCTGATGAGTGCTGTTATTTCCAGTTTAGGTCACGGCAAATGACTGCTGGGACTCGATTAACCAGTCATGAGATGGAGGAGGCACAGCTCTTTCTCTTGAAGGGAAAGTAAAGCTACTGATGATAAAAGTGAGTGCTTTTACTTGTCCAAGATAAGGGCTTGGAACAAAACGCTTTCCACATGGACAGAGAAATGTAATATCCTGGAGAGCTCTCAGCAGGCTCTGACCTCCAGAGAAAGGAGCCTTACCCTGGGTTGTCACTGGCCCAGTTCCCCATACTTCATGACGTGTGCTACCCACAGGATGGTATGTGCCCCCAGCCCCACCTGAAATGGGAACCTGGGAAGGACATCCTTGGGCTGCCAGCGCCTTTCCTGATGCACCCTGCCATACAGGTGCTGAAGGGTGGGGCTGAAACCAAGGGTGCTGAAGAACTGTGGGCAAGGTGCTCATCATCCCCCCCAGGGTCGTTAATAGGGGTGGCTTTGCTGATGACTGGTCAACTGAGCACAGTCAGCCCCCACAGGCTGCACAAAGCAGTGCCTACACTCCAAACTCGCTCCCCTGGGACGCTTGGCAAGAGGAAACCCACAGCACAAGGAATATTCTACCCAGCATATTCAAAACACACATCTGCCAAGGACTGTTGCTACCTCCCAACTGCATCACAACTGCTGCACATTTCCCCAGAAACTTTCCCACTGATGGCCGGCACAAGTCTTGAGACATAAAATTAAGCAAATACTGTTTGGTATATACCGGGGTCTGGCCTTACCCAAGCACATGAGTAATCAAGAGACCATCTGAGGACGGGCCCTGCCAGAGGGTCCCCCAGCAAACCTCCCCTGGTTGGTCCTGCACTCTACCTCTTTGAGCTGCAGCTGCCCATCCTGATTGTGGTCCAGCAGATTGAAAATGTCCATCTGGCTGATTTCTATCATTTCCATAGCTTCCTCATAGTCATCCGTTGGTAGGATCTGGCTCTTCTGCAGACCCTTCAGCTGTGCCAGATGGACGATGAGCTTGCACTCCTCCTCTGTCAGGAAGTCGGGAATTTCTGCAGCAAAAGTGCGAGCAGCAACAGAGACTGAGGAACTGTTACAGTGGGACCCCAGACTGATGCCAGGCCACTCAGGAAGACGGGGGGGGGAAAAAAAAAAAAAAAAAAAAAAGAGAGGTGGGGGTACAATTTAGAAACTGCCTAAGTTTTGGACATTCAAACACATCCAGCCTTCTACCAGAAGAGCTCCCAAAGAGCATACGCCAGACACCTGAGCTGCTGGAGGTGGGTATTTTTACAGCAGCAGTTCCTAAATGTTTGGATCCAGGGGTCAAGCCCTTAAGCTCTCTCACAGATACCACAATGGACAAAGGAGGGAACAAACACATGTGTTATCACCGCGTATTATCACTTCAAAGGTGACATGTGGATCACAGTCTGGGAACTGCTGCTCGACAGGAAGGCAGACCAAAACCTTTGCAGTGGGCAGTGGTGATGGCCAGAGCTCCAGGCTTCCTTGCTCTCATGTGGAGAGGTGAGCACTTCGTACAAAACCAAACGCCCTTCAGGGGAACCTGGCACAGTGCTCTGCTATGAAACTCAAACAGCAAGGAAACAGCTTCCAGAGTTATTCCCACTCATTCCCTCGCTCTCCTGCTAAAAATGGTCTTCAAATTTATTATTACAGGGGAAGACACCGCACATGGCGGATGCCATGCTCCATACCCAGGTAGCATCCTGGTATCACCAGCTTTCCTTTGCAGTGCGACACCAGCAGCAATTGCGCAATAGCAGGATCCCAAGCAAATTTACATGCAGAGAAATCCACTGATGACTATGAGGCCAAGAGATTTCTAGCTGCACAGTGCACTTGCAAAGCACTGGTGAGGTCCTGTTCCACAGCACAGTTACACCGTGGCCCAGCAGGTTGAGAAGATCCTTCTGGATGATGTCTGTCACTGCTATGGGGATTTTGTTACCAGCTTCTGAGACTTTTGAAGAGGGAAAGGAAAACCACCAAAGCAGGACAGGTTTAAGGGCTCCTAGGGTGAAGGTCCTGCTCTCCAAATCGCAGGCCCCTAGAGCTCCTGCAGGTATGTGCCAAGGACACATTATGTCTCCACTATAAGCTGCAATCATCAAGGGGGGGCTGGGGGGGACGAAATTAATTACTTCTATGACCTTAAATCAACCCTATCAGCTCAAACTGTCAATAAGCAGCTGGCTTCTTGCTAAGTACAGACCAGAACCAGCCCTGGAGAAAATTAGATGTTCCTGGGAAGCCCCAGAAACACGATGCAGCCGGCTGTATCCATAACACCCTCCGAGGAAACAATTTCCGCCACAGGCAGCGCAGGGTCCTTGTGCCAGAGGATGCTTCAGAGCCGGAGCTTCCGCTGGCCCGTTTGAACCTCATGGCATGGCACCAGGTCCGAATGAACTGTGTGCGCTGGCAAGCGACACCCCCAGTATTTCCCGTTCCCCGAACTGGGCTACAATAATGATGGCTTCTGGAATCTTAATTACGTGCTGGGGGAAGGACAATCCTGCTCTTCAGCGGTAGTAATGGGATTTCGTAATGAAGTAAAGATTCTGTTAACCGGAAAGCGTGCTCTGTCACGCAGGTTGCAAGGTGAGGGGGTTTCCAGCTAAGCGCTGCCAATCTCATCTGCAAACAACCTGGCTCCACAGCTGCAAATTAGTTCCTCTCTACCCTCAGCTCTCCGAAACTGTTAACTTCTGGCTGTGAGACCATCCTATCTCCCTGCCTGCTCAACAATAGATCCGGCTAAACAAATGCCTCCTAATTGACTTTGAGCAAGACTTGATTGCTTTTACAAAAAACAAAAGAGAGGAAAACATTGGGGTTTATGAAATAATGACTAATCCTGGAGCAAGAGAAAGGAGATGGGTTGGAGCACTGGTGTCAAACAGAGATTCAATCTCAGCTGAAAGAGCCCCAAGACACATGGGCCAAGTCATTCATCCCTCCCCAACTGCCCTCATTTCCACACCTGCTGATCTAAGCCAAACCCCTGCTAAAATCCAAACAATCGGGGCCGCTGGCAAACGAAAATTGGAGCATTGTCTTCCCCATGAGGGCTCTGAAAGGGCCGCACTTAATGAGGGTGGATTGACAGAGAGGTGGCTCGTAGGCTATAAAAGGCATCCCACAGTCAGGAGCAGCTCAGTCCAGGGTGCACTGCCCGTTTGCCCGCTCCCGGCTCATTCTGAGCATGGGCACGGCCTACTGCAGGCACCCTTCGAGGCTGGGTGGCCCATGGCTGCTGGGTCTCCTGGCGCGTCTGCTGCTCTGGGGCTCTCCAGGAACCTGGGCGAGCTACCTGAGGAGATCCTCCAGCTGCACGCCCATTCCACACCACATGGCCTTGTGCTATGATATCGGCTACTCCGAGATGAGGATTCCCAACCTGCTGGAGCATGAGACCATGCCAGAAGTGATCCAGCAGTCTTCCAGCTGGCTGCCCTTGCTGGCCAGGGAGTGCCACCCAGACGCTAGGATTTTCCTCTGCTCCCTCTTTGCACCAATCTGCTTGGACAGGTAAGATGTTTTTACAAGTTATTTCAGCTGTAGCAAGTAACACTCCCCAAAAGCGCAACTGCACACGCCTCCCGAGAGAAAATGCATGCAATGTGATCAGTGCAGTCCCCGAGAAGCTGTGCTGCCCCCCTCAGCGAGGAGCAATTGGACTATCTAGCAGGGACCTTCTCTCTGAAAGCAAACCACGAGCATTTCATCTCGCAGGAGCAGAAACATTACGTTGCCTTCTCTGGATTTTCCCGTTCTCCCACCTCAAGCACTGCTGCCACCTCCCCTGGCCGCCCCCCTCGCACACCACAGTAGGTGCTGGCACCCACCGGCTTCACCTCCCACCTCCCCTGCAGCCCCTTTCCCAGCTCCTGCCCCGACCACACAGAGGCTTCCTCAGCCTGACAGTGCCAGCATCAGAGAGAAGTCCTCAGTTTTGAGGTGCAAAGGACAGAACTGCTAAGGAAATCAGGTATCTAATTAGGCACCTGTAAAGGTAAGCAGCCTCTGCACAACTAGAGAAGATCCCTGGGGGGGGTGGGGAGCAGGCTTCTGGCAGCAGCCGACATCAAACAGCCTCATCACTCCCGTCCTCAGAAATTCATTGTTTTATTTGCTGGGCATGAATGTTCAAAAGACATCAAAGACCACAAAAATACCTCTGCTAGCGCTACAGCGTGCAAGACAGATCTGTGCGGCAGCAGTGTGGTGCCAGGGCTTGACCCTCAGCCTGCTGCAATCCCCATCCCCTCCCCAGGCTCATCTACCCCTGCCGCAGCCTGTGCGAAGCTGTCAAGAGAAGCTGTGCACCCGTCATGGCTTGTTACGGCTACCCTTGGCCCGAAATCCTGAACTGCAACAAGTTTCCCGCAGATCATGAACTGTGCATCGCGGCAGTCTCCACGGATGAAAATTCCTCGAGCAGGAGAAGTAAGGTGTTTTTTTTTCCTCGTATGTTTTCCCATATGTAATACTGAAAGCTCAAAGGGGTGGGCCTATGCCTTGTTTCTATTCCCAGTATTTCTGGGTTTAAGCTATATTTAACAGGAAACACTATAAATTCTAGTTTTGTTCTCTCCAGGAACTCCAATGAGTCTAGAAAATCAGGGTAAAGTTGACTGTAGCTTGTTCCCTTCTCTACTGTATTCGTTAGCTCCCTGGCTGCCATCAGACCATGTGGGTTTGGGGCAGGGGGAAGAAATTGCTGTAAAAGCCTAACACTCAGGCACATCTTGCGTGCAGGCTCCAGGCGGTGAGATGTGCTTCCAGCAGAGCTAAGGAGCTGCAGCCCTGATCTTTCAGCTGTGTCCAGGGTTTAAATAAACATGCAAAAAGAAATGTTTTGCAAGCCTTCTCTTTAAACATTAGGAAACACCACAAAGGGGCATAAGCCTCTGCAGACATGAGTTACACAAGAAAAAAATATTTAAGACTGAAAGACTAAATTAAACACCCAGATACTGATGAACACTGGGGGAGATTCAAGAGCAGTTGAGAACAGATGCCTCATTTTATTTCAAAATTACTAGATGGAGTTTGGCCATACCAATGGCTTTACTGTTTCACTCAAACTAGGCGATCTTCATCAAGCATTTTCACTGCTGCTTTAACATGCAGCAACACAAACAAGCCTAAATAAAGCACGACAATCAGCATCTCCCCCAGCCACAGAAAGGAGAGCTGGCAGCCTAAGCTGTCTCTCCAGGGACTGGGTAGATGGGGAGGAATCACCACTCAGAAACAGCAAACCACCACTCGCAGATCTCAAAATTGCACTATGCTTTCTCCAGTGAAGCTTGACAAAGGTGTTATAACCAAATTTCTGTTGCAGCAGTGCCCCGAGCCAGCTGCAAGGACTGCGAGCTTGAGGAGGCCAGCACTGCCAGGGAGATCCTGGAAAACCTCTGTGCCAATGATTTCGGTGAGTGACTCCCCCTCCTCCTCTCAGTTGCTGCCGTTCCCTGCAGCAGCCAAGTAGTGGCACAGACAGAAAATGGTTTTGCATGACAAACTGACCTGGAGGAACTGCAGCTTTCACAGCAGATGCCAGGGATTTTCAGGTCCCAACTTACCTGTTAGGTAGCATGAGGGCCCAGCTCCAGGCAGCACCAAAGGTGAAGACCTGCTTTATTTCTGTGGGCTCTGACTCTGTTTTGGTCTGTGGCTGCTAAATACAACACTACTCTGGTTTTCCCCCTCAGAGACCAATATTTCAATTGATGCAAACTCCATGTCAGTTATTTCAAACTTCCAATACCATTGTTCTAGTAATGTGACTCTCCCTCTCCTAGCCCAAGCAGGTGGCAGTGCTGGCTCTGCTCAACCAGCTGGCAGGAAGTTTTCAAGATACTGTCCTGAATTCAGGCACACAAACTTAATGAAAAAAAAAAAATTAAAAATCCTGGGCAGCCAGCAGTCACATCAGCTCCTGAAATTCCACCTCAGAGAAAAGTAAAGTAATTTGCCCAAGACCAGGACTTTGATGCATCTACAGGGTTTCTGCCTGTGCAGTGGTGCTGATACGCTGCCACTCTCATTAGAAAAGCAGAGTGGAAAGAATGGTGTTCAGTACTGGAAACTAACCTCAAATGACAACTATTACAAGTTTATTGCAATGACATGAACATGGATTGATACGTCACCACATGACAGAAACAGCAAGAAAGCCTTGCATTGGCTGTGTGCTTAAGGAGGTAAGAACTATGACAACTAAACAGAACTAACAGCTCTTTTTCCAATCCCCGCAGCAGTGAAAATCCGAATCCTGAGGAAGAACATCACCACCACCATCTCGGACTTTGACCTGGACCCCTCCAGGGTGGAGGTCCTGAAGCATGGCCCGCTCCTCAGAAGCGAAATCCCCAGCAGGCTCCAGCAGTGGCTGGATATAGATGCTACCTGCGTCCACAACATCATGAGAGGCACTCACTCAGGGGTCTTCATTGTAAGTGGCGAAGTACAGAGCGACAAAGTGGTGGTGAACAAGGCCTACGCCTGGCAGAAGAAGAACAGGAACCTGCACCAGGCAGTGAGGAGGTGGAAACATCACCGCTGCCCTGAACAGGCTGTCCAAAAGGTCTGAAAAAATCTTACTTCCAACAATAAGAAACTGCTCCTTTCCCTGTGGCTAGAAAACTCCTTTCCCTGGCAGCTGGTGTTTTGGAGATGTACAGGCAGTATTTTTAGGTGATTCAAAGCAGTCATAGTCCACAGATAGGGCCTCACTACAGATCCCTGTTTTACTGAGACAGAGCTTAAGGATGTAGATTTAACCTATTCCTCTTGCAAGGCTCTGCAGATCCAGGACTTGCAACAGATGACTTTGTGTAGGATCCAATGTCACGACAAAGCTGAACTGAAGTCTGCAGGTGAGCACAAGCTAGAAGAGACTTGTAGTAACAGTTCCAATGGTCAATGGTTCTCATCATCAAAGCTGAGAGCCATTTCAGCTTCATTGTTTGACCCCGAGACATTGATGCTGTCCAAGTGCCTGCTTGCTTTCTGTCCAGAGAGATTACATGGAAGTCTGACTGCTAAGTGAAGCTTTTTGTGTAATGGAGCAAATACTTTACTCTTGAACGGTCTGAGGTAAATTAAGGGGGAGAAGAACCCACCCCAAAAACGCCTGGCCCCTGCAGTCACTCAGGCTGTCCCTTCAGCTTGCTGAGCTGCGAGTTGATGAGCACCTGCACAGGTAAAAGCACACAGCCACTCTCAAGCAGGAAAGGCACAAAGCTGAGGATTTCTGCATAACAGGGAAAACAATTTTTTAACATCAGAAATTCAGTCCGGATCTGAAGATTCTGGTAACTGGGGAACTACCGAAGATATCACAAGAGCCTTGAGAAAGAGCAAGAGAGGGAACAGGACATCAGCTGTTTAAACCTCTGCTTTGCTGTGCAACAGCGGCTTTGCTTGGGACTCAGAGGTGAGCCCCAAACACAGCACAGCAGGAGGTATTTGCAGTTCTGATATGGGGGTGGGGGGAGAAACATTACACATCCGTCTGGCCTCCCCCCTGCATGCAAGGAAGACAGAAAAGGTGGCAAAACTCAGTCTCATAAAGTTCTCTGCAGCTCACTCTCTCGCCCAAGTAGGGACTGTAATTCCCTGCAGGGGTAAACAGAACTACAGCTCTACACTCCAGACCACAGAGCAGAAAACAGCAGATCCCAAAATGAGAAAACAAGTTGGATTTCTACTGCCTAACAAAGCACTGTCCGTGGGAAGTTTTCTACACTGGATTAAACTTGGGACCGAAATAAGAAAATAAGGGGAAAACCAGCTTTGAGGAGAAACGTGTTCTGCCTTGTTCATGATGACGGCAGTCTCAGTTGTGGACAGAGCCGCTCTGTTTGATGGAGACACATTGCCTCCCTGTGCTCGTAAAGCACACCAACAACCCGTGATGAGATCTCCTCTTCAGATTTAATGTGGGCTGAGACGAGCACTCAGACACTCACACTGAAATTCAGCTGCGCCCTGACATTTGTGCCGTGATTACTTCTATTCCCTGAGGCTCCGAAGAAAAACACAGCAAGATTTCCTATTTTTATTCCTCCCTACTGCCTTGCCTTGCAAACTGCTGCCCGATTCACAGAATCCACTGCCAGGTGGTCCCTGCAATGGCAGTATCTTCTGAACAGACTGCGTTTGGAAAACACAACAGAACACATAAAAGCTCTGAAGGTTGAAAAGGCTTTGTCTGATATTTGTTTTCCATTAATAGGATTATTTGATTGCTAGTGTTTCCTAACTAAAAAGTGCACAGATGGTCTGACTTACAAGCTTTAGAAATGACGTCTCGTAGCTAGAGGGGGAAAAAATAGGGCAGGGACTTTTTCATAGCTCCATGAAATACGCTTAGGTTCAGTGCAGATGACTTAGCCACATTTAAAAACAAACCACAAGTTCCCCTATGGTGCCCAGTGCCATGCTCCAAAGCCCAGAGCCTGCACTAAATCATTAAAGAACCATCCGTTGCTGTAGTCCCCCTACAGCCTGCTCTGCTGAAAGCAAAGATCACAGGCCAGCCGCTTATTTCCTTACATTGGCTCTCACACGCTGCAACACTTCATGTTAAGTAAAATCCCCAGAAATTCAAGAGTCCTTCCTTGCTAGCAACTTCCAGTTTTGCCTAACACAACCCAGTTAAACACACACTTCCACTAATTTAAACAACAGAGGTGCAATAAATTAGGTGTTTTTTTTTTAAACCAGTTGATGTAGATTGGTACCGTTTGCATAGATAGAGAAATCTCTGCAAGTCTTTTAAAGTCACAGCTGGCTCCTGGCAGGTTCACCCAGGAGATAAGAGCTGTCTTGTGAGTTGCAGTTTCTAAATAAGTGACTCCCTATCGGAGGACAAAGGAGAACAGACCCGCATGGCATCTCAGATGTGGAATGTCCACTGCTGTCCATGATACCATCCGCAGGGAGCAAACCTTCCCCCAGAACCGATGGAGGTGCTGGAGTGACAAGTTAAAATGTATGGGATTTCTGCTGCCAGGACCAACCTGCCTTTTCTCAACTTCAGCACCTTCCCTGCAGGCTGGGATCAACTCTTTCACTTAAGCAGGGCAGAGCAGGCGGGAACAGGAGTTTTCCTGAGCAAAAACCAGAGCAATTGCCCCAGACCATGGCTCTGGTAATGACGTCAGTTTTGCGAACGCTGTGGGGTATCAGTTCCAGGTTGGTGCGTCTGTTTCCTGAAGCTCAGACAGAAATCCACTTGGAAATTTGCATACCATGAGTACCACACATGTAGAAATGACAGAAGAACTTTGTATATTTCTTCCAGATACTTACTGCATTAAAGGAATTTAATAAGAAACCTATTTGATTTACGGCCAGGCTTTCAGTGTGTATAATCTATTTGGAATCAGAAAAAAATCCTCTTCTTATGTTACATCCAAAAGACTCTCAATGCTATTTTTTGAGAGACAACAGGTCCTCTCTGACTTTGCAGCAGTAGGAACTTTGTAATCATCTGTCCCAAAAAATCAATTTGTATATTCTCAGTGGATTTCCAGAACACGGGGTTCAATTCACAAGACTTTACCAGTCACAGCAAAAATCACAGAAAGATAAAGAAGGTTTTAAAATACCTGAAAGAAGGATGTCATGTGGTTGTGTATCAAAGCAGCCAGAAACAAAGATAAATCTAGAATAGGACGCAAAATGGTGCAAGACATTAAATCTATCAGTTCTCCTGTTACTCATTTCCTCAGCACTGAAGTACCAACACTAAATTGCTTTATCATCATTTATTACCAAAAGTTTGGGGATCTCCTGTCCCTTCCTAATACTTAGCAGCTTCTTCGAGGTCCTCTTCAGCGATCTTCTGCCTGTTCACGGCATTTTAAAGGCAATCTGAAAAACCTGGAAAGGTTAATCTTCCCAATTCTTCTAAGTGGGCCATCCAGAACCAATAACCTCTGTGAATTCTGTATCAAAATACCTTCAACACCACCATGCTCTCTCTAATGCGGCCCCAAGGGAAGGTGACGCGGGTAGGAGAAGCCGACAGG